CTTAGTTAATACAGGTAATTCCTGATGCACTTAGTTAATACAGGTAATTCCTGATGCACTTAGTTAATACAGGTAATTCCTGAAACTGCACAGTTATTACCAGTAATTACTAATTTTTAAATGAGTTTTTACACCTATTTACTAACTGTTAAAACAATGTTGAATATGTTCAGCTGATCATCTTAAAATATACCTTTTTGTTATTGGGGAATTAGCTACGAGATATACAAAAAATTAAATATGATATTTTTTGTTGAATCATTAGTGAAAATGATATAGTGAAACTATAATTCGCTTTTAGCAGCCAATTTGGTTCAATTTTGTCAAAATAAGCTAAGAAACATGGCTGATGAGTTATTCACTTGCAAGTGAATAATTCGACCTCATTGAATCCATATTCATGTGACCTTCAATTTAACCCCTAAGTAGGAGATTGCTTTACGCATGTTTTCAGCTATTAAAAAGAAAAGAATGTAAACACTGAAAGTAAAACAAAAGGGATGAACCATTTGGTTGACTAATTCAATAAAAAAAAAGATCATTCTTATACAGGTAAAAACGACGATAAACATACTTTTTAACCTACAATTTGAAATCAAACAGACCTAAAATATCTAATTGCAAGTGGACGCTATCTATTTATATTTATATTTATGTTTATATCTGGTTATATGACCGTCAGCAGTTTACTGAGGTCATCTCAATGGTTAATTAGATGACGTCTAGACAAAAAAACACACAAAATGTTGATACATATTATCGAGTTCATGCATTGTTAATTGTTTATTTTAGACTTTTTGTAATTTGGATACGTTTAAGTATATTATAAATCAAATATGAGAATTTGAGTCAAATTGGTGAACATGAATTTGACAGCTAGTGCCCCTTTAAACTGTTCTAAACATATTTGTTGAAAATGGGTGACAAGAAAGAAAAAAATATTTACAGACGAAATGTTCAAATTGTACAATGAAAAATGTGATAGAGTCTTAATGCAACAGGAAAAGCTTAACACTATAATCAGCAGATTAAATATTTTGTTTAAAAATGAAACAACAAAAAAGACATATGATGATTACAATCTTCTCTCAAGGTAAGTAATGGTTTACATGACATTTCTGTTGTATTTAAAATAATTCAACTTTTACAAGCTACTTAACAGTCCTGTTTAAAGGCTGCAGTAAAAGAGGGAAGGGGGCTGTGTGGATACATTTGCATCCCTTGCTTTGCCAAACCTAAGCTCCTACCAGGTCCCTTTCCTGGACCCATTTAAGGCCTTAAATCCAAACTTGGAACATGCCCATGCAATATGCTGTGGGGTAAACTAGTTTTGTCATATACACGACCTCCCCCATTTATCTTTGTGATTAATGATGTAAATAAATACAGTAGTAAACACATTGTAAAAATCAACCCAGAAAGCACCAAACCTATCCAGAATCTGTATCTATCTGTCTGCAAATCAGGACCAGGTGCTTCGTAAGGTGTTCTCAGCTTCTTATGCGACACTATCAATATGTCAATAGCCACTAAACCTCTAATAAACATATACATGTACTTTAATCCTGAATGGGTATTCATACTTGCTACAGAAAAGGTGGGGTAACTCCTATATGACCTGTATAATACAAACTCATAAAAAATAGAAACACAGAAATATGACAATGTGACTCTTAACGCCATCAATTTGTATAAGTTTATTTATGAAGAATGTCAGCTTCCTTGCAAAAGTATGATAAAAGAAGTCGTAATTAAATCTATTTTGTCAAAGGAATTTAACTCATGTCATAGGGCAAGTTGATCTGATTGATATGCAAAGTATGTCTGATGGAGATTTTAATTTTATTATGAAATACCAAGATCATTCAACCAAATTTTGCATAATCGAATGTCTTTCATCAAAAAGAGCAGGCGAAGTTGCCTATAAACTTCTCACAAATGTATTTCTCATATTTGGATTTATATCATTGTCTTGCATGTTGCAAATGATTTTTAGCAAGTTTCAAAAATTATAACACAACCATTTTCCAGTTGCAATTCACAAACATGACTAGAGAGCATGCAGTCTTGAAGGACCTTTGATTCCTTAATACTTTAGTTAGCCCTATAATCCATACCCCTTTACTTTCTTATTTGGTTTCTTGAATTATGTCTTAAATTTTAAAACAAAATATCAAGTTAGTAAATAGCTGTAAAAATGAACAAAAAAATCAGTGAATACCTGTAATCACTGAAACAATCAGTAAATACAATTAATTTCTAAATTAATTAGTAATTAAAGGTATTTACTTAATTGTTTAGTAATTACGTGTAATTCCTAATTTCACCTATTAACTGTAACATATATATATCATAAATCTTAATTTAGTTGTATGCAATCATAATTTTTTTTTCATAGAACAACTAAAAGGAACAGAATTAATTGTTTTATCATTTTTTTCAGAATATTTTTGAAAACATTTAATCTGAATATTTTTTTCATAATTTCATTGTAAATCACATGTTGGCTCTTCAAAATAAGACAGCACAAAATGTTCATTTCTTGCTAACCAAACAGGCAAATAACACTCACAGATTTTAAATTTTTTTTTTGATATTATGCTATATTTTGATACATTTTACCATTGAACATGTTGCATAACTTTTGGACAACCTGATATGTAGTAAAATAAAATGTTTTTCTATTTATTGAGTTCTTTTTAAATCTTGCAGAACCCTTATAATTTGCTGCAAGGATGAAAAAAATACAGAGATCATGCCAATTTCTGCTCAGGGAATCATTTTCACATACCAATTAGACCAGATGTACCTGCATAACCAAATGAATGCACCTCAAAATGGGTCTTGATCTGTCTGTTACTGTTCAGAATAGGAGATGACAAAGTGGGTGGTTTACCTAGCTAAAAAACCAGGTTAAACCCACCATTTTCTTCAGAAAATGAAGGTACCAAGTAAGGAATATGAGTTGTTTTCCTTCCTTCTATTGATTTATATAGTAGAGCATTTGGTTTTGTCAGGTTTTATGGAGTTCTCCCCTTTTAGCTAACCTGGCCCATCACTTGGCATCAGTTGTCGTCCGTTAACTTTTACAAAAATCCTCTCTTCTGAAACTACTGGGCCAAATTTAACCAAAATTGGTGTATCAGGTTTAAAAAATGTGCCCGACGACCACACCCGCCAACCAACATGGCAGATATGGCTAAAAATAGAACATAGGGGTAAGATGCAGTTTTTGGCTTATATCTCTGAAACTGAAGCATTTTGAGCAAATCTGACATTGGGTCAAAATGTTAATCAGGTTCAGATCTATCTGTGCTCAAATTTTTCGACGAAAACAGACAACCCGTTGTTGGTTTGCTGCACCTGAATTGGTAATTTTAAGGAAATTTTGCAATTTTTGGTTATTATCTTGAAAATTATTATAAATAGAGATAAACTGTAAACAGAAATAATGTTCAGCAAAGTAAGATATACTAATAAGTCAACATGACCAAAATTGTCAATTGACACCTTAAGGAGTTTTTGCCCTTTAATGTCAATTTTTAACAATTTTTCGTAAATTTTTGTAATCTTTTACAAAAATCTTCTCCTCTGAAAAAAAAATTTAACCAAACTTGGCCTCAATCATCATTAGGCATGTTAGGGTATCTAGTTTAAATAAATGGGGAATGTGTCCATGGGACACAGATGATGCCCCTGCTTGCATATCATATAAAGTTATAAATTGACATAACTGAAGAACGGTAGAAGTGGCGCTACCCAAATTTGTTCTTGATCTGAGTTTTGTGGCAATTAGTATTGTGTATCAGTTACATAAAATTTGGTTGAGGCAAACTTAAGTTAGAGAACAGAAACAAAAAATTCAGCAATTTTTCTATTTGAAAAGGGGTATAACTCTAGAACAGTAAAAGTAACACCACCAATATTCAAACATGATCTGTAGTTTTTGGTAATAAGCATTGTGTATAAGTTTCATAACATTTGGTTGAGGCTAACTTAAGTTAGAGAACGGAAAACAGAAAATTCAGCAATTTTTCCACTTGTAAAGAGCATAACTCTAGAAAAATTAACGTGACTTCACTCAAATTCAAACTTGATCTGTATTTTGTGGTAATAAGCATTGTGTATAAGTTTCATAACATTTGGTTGAGGCAAATTAAAGTTAGAGAATGAAAACGAAAAATTCAACAATTTTTCCATTTGTAAAGGGACATAACTTTAGAATGGTTAAAGTGATGCCACCAAAATTCAAACTTGATCTGTGTTTTGTTGTAATAAGCATTTTGTATAAGTTTCATAACATTTTGTATAAGTTTCATAACATTCTAAACTAAAGTTAGAGAACAGAAACCAACTTTGGAACGTACAAAATTCAAACTTGATCTGTGTTTTGTTGTAATAAGCATTTTGTATAAGTTTCATAACATTTTGTATAAGTTTCATAACATTCTAAACTAAAGTTAGAGAACAGAAACCAACTTTGGAACGTACGGAGTGACGGACGGACAAACAGACGTAAAGACAAGGGTAAAACTTAATGCCCCCTCAGCAGTGGCATAAAAATGTGTCCGATGACCCCCACCTGCCAACCAACATGGCCGACATGGCTAAAAATAGAACATAGGGGTAAAATGCAGTTTTTGGCTTATATTTCCGAAACTAAAGCAAAAGTATAATGGTTGCATTATTTCATGCATCAATTGTAAACAAAAATATCAGGTGAGCGACACAAGCTCCTTGGAGCCTCTAGTTGAATTTACCTTGGAGTATTATTGCTAATACTTTTTTACCATATTTCTATCTCCCAGTCAACCTTGGTATTGTGGCCAGTGAATGGTCTTTGCTGATGTAGCATTCTACAAATTTATAACCTTGAAAATCAGAGTCTAGTATATATATTACCATAGCGAATTATCTCAATGACTGCAAGTGTTGCTCAATGGTGTACTCCATACAACTGTCAAGATTATTAATTGATCTGTGATACCATGACAACTTACCTCTGTGACCTCTGATTTTGTGATGTCCTCCATTCCACCTTCAAGGTCATCGTCCAACTTCTGTTTCTTAACCAGGCCTCCTTCAGCTTCATCCCTGATTAACAAAAGAAAATAAATGATGGTCGAAAGAAATTGATATTGAAATAATATTGTCATGTATACAAATATACAACTTTTAAAGTATAATTCCCAATGAGACAACTACTGTAAATTGAGAAATTATTGTGTGCAATTATTTTTGCAATTTTGGTATGATTTTAGACAACAATGCAATTATCATTTTATAGATACTGAGAAAAATCCCAGTTCATTTATATGAAAAAAATCAAAAATGCCAGTTTAAATTATTACGATTACAACCCTGTCGTATTTATCACTATAACAAAAACATCACAGTAATTTCTGAATTTACAGTACCCACTAAAGACCAAAGACCAGGATGTAAACAACTACACATCACCTTCAACTATGTGCAAAAAAAGTACACAAAATAAAAATTATACAATCTATAAGAGATAACTAAGGCCTGAATTAAGGAAATAACAGGCAAACAAAACAAAACAATTATGACATATGCCAATGACAAACACTGGACCTTACCAAAAGGTCTGAAAAAAAAATCAAAAGTTAAAAACCATGTCAGAAGATGTTTAATTTCTTTAGTATCCTTAACACCCTTTTTTGTCATTTACAGGATATGGTCATCAATATTTTCTGTTTAAATGCATTCATAACATTTGTAGAGTTAGACATCAGTCTGTCTATTAAAACTACACTTGTTTGTTGACCTGGAGATAATGTTTGGTTTTGTGTCTTTGGGTTGCTGTCTCATTGACAAATACTCCTGTAACTACCAGAGCATCCTACCCACAGCTACAGCTGCATATTAGGAAATGAATACATCCTAAATCTGAAATACAGACAATCAAACTATGAACAATGTAACAGGAGATGTCGCAATAAGCAGAGTTATGCCTTATGGATACAGCAATATATGTTCGTTCCAAAAAATTACTCAGGAAAACTCTTGACCATCAATTTTAGTGCATTTTGTGGGTACATATGAACTATAAATTAAAATGATTAACAAAATTACAAATTTTCTATTGGGTTGTATGCAGACTTTTGGAAAACCACGAAATCAAATATCCACTATAATTGGTAAACACGAAAATAAATGAATCCTCAATATGTTATAAAGTTTGAATATCTTGAAAAAACATTGAACTTTACTGATCTTTTGATCAAATAGAAAAACTCAAATGACCAGACCATCAAGGAGGAACTGGCAACATATTATAGCTCTGTTCTTTCAGTAAAAGTCTTAATACTACTAGGGGGTGTTTAACAACCTTGACTACCGATGAGGGTCTTGCACGGTCGATAAAAGTCTTCAATCAATAAATAAGTAAAGAAATCAACAATCAAAGTGCTTGTGGGCAGTTAAGGGTCAAAATTGCATTCACTTAAAATTAAACATGGTATTGTATTTAGCATTTGAATAGGAGGTATAATTGTAATTGTGGATAAGGAAAGAGAACTCCTATTTCAAATATTAATTTTTTTAATTTTTAGAACATATGCAAGATTCAGGCACCATGCACAATTCATTTTCTTTGCCTTACGAGTACGGTAATAAAAATATCTGAGTTTATATGTCATTGATAAATTTCTTGAAATGTTCAGTGATATGGAATGCAATCTTTACTCCCAAAAAAATAATATGACAAAAATAGTCAACATGGAATTTTTTTTTTCAATAATAAATACAAACCCATCTTTAAATAACTTCTCTCCTGTTCTGTCTTCCTTTCGTTTGACCTCTTCCAATTTAAATAATTTCTGTATTTTTTCTACCCCAGGTTCACATTTGGTTATAATTTCTTGTGGTGGTTTTAGATAATTGGCTATCAAGGGAGATAACTCAGGTAGTTGATCATCTGGATTCAAAGCACGATGTTGTAAACACTGGAAATAGAAAAATAATCTGTTACATGTTGGGTCAGAAGATAAGTGTCACATGCAAACTCCAAATATTGAAAGTAGAAATGGTTCATTTTTTGGTAAGGGAACCAAAATCAAATCACTCAGATCGACAAGTTAAATAACAGATGCACTTCATGCCCTTTGAAATAAACTGTGCAAATTTGGTGGAATATTTATTCAAATTTTTCAAGAAGTCCCAGATGACTGATGTTACATGGGCGATAATGACAGAATTAATTCCAATGAGTCACTACAGCTGGAACACAAAACTGATAGTTTTACAAAGATATCTAATTTGGACCTAGTCCATTTTGTGTGATAAATTAAAACAACATAGTAGTTTTTGAATATATAGTAACTTAAAAATTTGTTGATGAATTTTAATCCATTCACGAGAAGAATGACACTTCACAACTGAACCAATCATGTTACATCAAATGGGTCAGTCAGAATAAGAGCAGCAGGAATGAGTTTCACAAAAAGTATTAAGACCAAGATTGATCGTATGTATACTGAATTGTATAACACTTGCGATCAATTTAGTCGTAAAATTTTTTGTGAAACTCACTGCAGGAACTATTTACCCTTCCAGAGCACTTCGAGTTCAATCTGGGTTTAAGTGGGATTCATATTACTGGATCTTTTCTGTGCAGTGTTTTGGTGACCACTGCTACTACTGTAAATTCAGAATTTATTGCGAGGTTTTTATTATTGCGACAAATGCGACTGGGTTGTTAACGCAATAATTTAAACTCGCATTTTGAAATATTTTATATGAACTAAACAGGATGTTTCTCAAAATCGTAAAAATTAAAATCGCATTTAAGTCTAAAATGACAAAATCGCAATAATAAATGCACGCAATAATTTCTGAATTTACAGTATTACAATATAAAAATAAGGAGATGTGGTATGATTGCCAATTCATATAATGAGACAAATATTCACCAAAGTTCATATGAAGTGAATGTAAGCAATTATATAGGCAACCATATGGTCTTCAATAATGAGAAAAACCCATACCAACCTTGTTTAACGACCTTGACCACCCATTTTTTTTTGACTTGTTTGTATGTTTGTCTTTCTGGTTGCTATGGTTTTATCTTTTCTAGAACAACTTATGAAATTTCATAGTCCCCTGATATCTTCTTTTTTAAGAAACACAGCATCTTTTAACTACATACCTGATACAGTCTTTGAAAATGTGGATTAAATACAAATTTTGGTTTCAATGCTTCAACTTTATCATCCTCATCACTGAAAAATAACAAAATTATGTCTTAATGTTTCATTGATAAAATAACAAATAGCACAAGAAATCTGATCTAGTGTTATACCAGAGGTTGCTGTAAACGGTTTCATATTCATTTCTTTTGAGTGGACCAATTTTCATGGATTGAGGAAAAGTTATACACAATCATTACAGCAAAATATAATATAAATTAAAATGTGTCAGTATATAGACTGTACATTTAACTAGTATTGTATTGAAAGCAGATTTTCATAATCTCCGTTCAATTCATTCATAACTTTTATTTTAACTCAGGGTGATTTTTTATAGCTTAACATATTGTGTAGACACTCGGCTAAGAGTCCATAGTTTTTTTGTCTGCGATGAAAAAATGGTGAAAAAAGGCATGCTGTTTTCTACACCAGCAACATCAACAATTGTTATAATTTGTGATTTGGTTACACTGGCAAAACATCTCTCTGTGGTAACAGTTCATTTTTTGTTGTTGGGTTACTGTCTCACTGACATATACCCCACATTGCCTTCTTACTTCCTTGTTTAAGACCAGTCTTTATTTAAGAAATAGTTCCTTCATGTCATGCAGTATGCTCATTTTAACATGGGTAGGCACTATATTTGTCGATATTTTACACTGAGCATTAGCGAGGTGTAAAATATGGTCAAATATAATGCCTACCCATGTTAAAATGAGCATAGAGCATGACATGAAGGAATAATTTAGATTCTAATAGGACAAACCCAGTATTTTTATAGGTTGAAGCTTAAGAAAATACCTTTAAAATGTTTGGCTGTTCCATTTCCTCCCCATGGAGTTTGTGCATTACATTTTCATATTTAATAAGTTTGAAAACTAAAAGCAGGGTAAATATATGTTGTTTGATAAACAATATATAATATAAGTTTTTGCACGCTGCTAAAATGTATATATTTTATTATGATAACAATGAAAATAACGCCAATATAAACAGTTAAAGTATGTGTGCATGTGTCAAACATATTTGAGCTAATTACAAAGCGTAATAAGGAAGTCATATTAGAATTTGTTTTAAGACCAGTTTATATCTAGGATTAAGTTTATTGTGTTGTTGCGTTGCTCAGTCTTATTGATATATATATTCTACATTGGTTGTTATAAGTTCTACTTACTCCCCTGTTTGAGACAAGTCCATATCTGTAATTAAATCATCTACTGCCTTCAACTGGTCAGCTGAAAAATAACAAGATGTAGTATGAGCTCATACTTTTCTACTTACTTTACCCCTGTTACAAGTATACTGTGGAGTCATTTATTTTCGTGGGTATCAATTTTCGGGGATATTTCATTTCGTGGTTTTGTCAATGTCTTCGTACAAGACAAAAGAAGATTTGTAATTTGTTGAACCTGAACCCATTAAACCCACAAAAAAAATATCCAACGAATAATACTGAATCCACAGTATAAGTAAAAGAATGTTGAGCAATCAATGTGAAAATGCATCTCACGAAATACACCCACACATGAAGCTGATACCAAATTTATGGAAGATTTGATGTGTATATTCAGAGAAGAATGAGAAGAAACATTCACAGGTCAGACCATGGAGGGGGTTTATAAAAATAACATTAAAGTTTTTTAAGGATGTTTAACCCTCTGTTTCAAAATAACAAGCCTGTTAATAAACTGTTATAAATTGATAGTATATAAATAACTGAACTGAAAAAGCAGAAAAAAATTATAAAGTCGTGTCCTTATTTTTGAGATATAATCAATTGAAAATTTGGCGGGAAATGATTCTCTCTAGATTTTTCATCCATTTAGCATAAACACCTTTTTTCTTTAAAAAAAATATGAAAAAAATAACAAAAGTTTGATTAGTCTCCAATTTACAACCCCTAAGTTAAACGATGTGGTTCACTTAATTTTTGTTTACCAGCATAACAAACCTTTCAATCAGTATCTAAAAAGTGAAACTTTGAAAATTTAATGATTGTAAATGTTTTCTCAATAAGGATAATACAAATGTAATAAAACCAACTTTTTCTAGCTAAGGGAAAGAATGATTAAAAGTTGATGTAGACAATGTTTTTATTACTGTAAATTCAGAAATAACTGCGAGGTTTTTATTAATGTGAATAATGTGACTGGGTGATTAATGCAATACTAATAAAAGGACAGAGTTTCAATGTCCCCTGCGTAGCACATATTTCATCTATCCAAGGGCAGTAACTAAACAAAACCCTTTTTTTTTTGTTGTTTTACACATATGTTTTGTATATACATTTATAAATAAAAAGCGAGAGCGGGAGACAAAAAAGTTTTTTTAAAGGCCATTTTCCATAAATTTAATATTCCCAAGGGGCATAACTCTTTTAAAAAAAGTCGATTGGCCACCATTATATAACTTGTCTGAGATATTGCTGATATTGACCTAGAATATAAGTTTGATAAAATCTGGCAAGAATTGTACCTGTGAGAGCGCTAACAAGACCAGAAAGACAGACCAACACATAGGGATGCTGTGTATTTCCATGTCCCCCACAATGCGTTACGCAGAGGACAATAACTCATATTCTGATATCTAATACAAATATCTGTATCCAGATTTACCTGCAATCACATTGATTTATCTCGTATTATTGCTTATTTCTCAAAAATTGCAATGATAAATGGAGGCAATAATTTCTGAATTTACAGTATAACTTACCTGAAGGTGCGTTTTTAACATTAGCTTTATTGTCCTCAGTAATGGGTAAAGATCCAAATGTAAACTGTCGAATATCTTCTCTGAACGGAAGTTCTACATAGATTAAACACTGAAAATAAATACTAGTGTATTACAAACTGCAGAGCTTTAAGAGACTTTGTAGGACATGAAAATTATTTAATTATTATAAGTTCTATATGACAGATCTTAAATGTATGATTTGACGTGGTTTTCTGTTTCATTAGAATGGAGATTTATTATTAGTTTTTCTAAATGATGCAAATTAACAAAGAAATCATAAATGGAGTGTGATAATTCTCTACTAAAATTTTTGAATTTAAGAATTAGGAAGTCTTAATCAAAGCCTTAAAGGCTGTAAAAGCAATTGCTGCCATGTTAATATTTTGGGGACTATTTCATCCACATATATATAAGAATTAAACCTGACAGGAGTGTTGTCTAGTGAGAAGTAAGAAGCTTTTAACTTTATATCAATATAAGACTTCAGTAGAAAGTCATTTTTTATATGTTTTATATTTCACAAGGAGACAACACGTTTACCTGTTTACCAGGCTAAAGTTGGGATCAAATTTACATGTGCTGAAACATACAACTCAAAAAGAAATTATCCCCTGGTAGTGTTTGTAACTGGGCAATAATTTCCTTTATTGATTTAATTTCAACAATTATCATAATTAATTTAAATTTAACCATTCAATTAAAACATTTCAACTTTCCAGACGCAAATGTTGAAAAACGGGAAAGAAATAGACATAAACATGTAAAAAATAAATATATATTTCAGCTTACTAAAAATATTTTCATACTGTTACTTTGTCTTCATTTCTTAAAACTAAGTCTCAAACATTATTGCTCAGTTGATATGTGTCATCCTCATGCGGTACGAGATAACTATAATTCTCATGCAATCCCGAGAAGGGGGGTCATCACAGACAAACATGACATTAAATCGTCATTATACGAACAAGAACAAACAGCTCTTCGTTGCTTTGATATTTATCAATTTTCAGGAAACATTGCGAAAAATGATCTTCAATATTTCGAAAACATGTGAAATAAAATTGCAAACATGGTGGACCGAGTGTCTACACGTAGACTCGTCCACTGGAAAGACGAGGATAATGGTTTCATCATTTGGCATGCATACCCAGTTTTGATTATGATATCCAAAAGGACGTACTTTTTTTCAATCTATGAAACTAGAAAATTCCAAATTGTAAATATCTCTTCATCTGGACTTGGCATATTTCACATTTTGACGGGTCCATTTCATTAGTAAGGTGATCGATAAATCTTACGGAGTTATGACAAAAAAAGAAAACAAACTTATTGTTATGTGTTTTTAACAAGGGTTTCGTTCCGCTAAATTATTTGCGCAAACAAATCAACAAAACAGGTCAGTTAAGTTTGTCTATTTTTAGATTACAGGTAATCAGTTGACACTACGTATAACATGTGTAGTGATTTGATTTTACGATAAATTTATGAATGAACGATAATTTTATGAATGAACAAGAGCACCTGGCCTCTTTCTTTAAATAGAGAAACACCAATTAAACATATAAAACCGTATTTAATAAGAGATAATTCAGTAAAATTTTCAATACTAAATCAACAACTGAAATGATTCGATATTTTGTTGAAACATCGTACGAAAGGAGAACGGAATCGCAAGTATAAAAATGCACTTTTTCCACTCGGACTTCTATGTTTTTTGATAGTCAAACGGTTGTCCCCCTAAATACAAAAATACATCTACAAGAACATATGCTGAACCTCTTAAATCCACTAACGTTTTTCAAAAGTTTCAAGCTATGTATTGCATTAGAAAACATACATAGGTGTTTAAGAATGACAGACCAGGAGCCTGTTTAACAAAATACTATGGCTTGATCTGGGCGGAGTCTCTGATTTACGTCACAAAGATGGCCATACGCGATGGCATAAAAGTAATTGCTTTAAAAATAAAAACACTTTTAAAACATGTGTTAAAAAAAGCAGGTAGAGTTATCTCCCATTTCATTTAAATTTAATGACTCTATGTAATGGGAGGTTTTAAAACATGTGTTAAAAAAGCAGGTAGAGTTATCTCCCATTTCATTTAAATTTAATGACTCTATGTAATGGGAGGTAACTCATATTCCCTATACCTGCAAAAGTTCAAAATTAGGTTTTTTCTATGACCTGAGTTTTATAAACAAATTTATTAAAGCATTTATTCACATCCACGTAATGTCTTTAAGCACTGACTTTTTGAGTAGACAACATTTTATTGCTTGCCCTACAAATATGGCTTGTGACATGTAACTGACTCTCTAAATACCCCATTTTTTATTGGGTTCATGAAGCTCAATCTATAGTATTCTGAGTATATTATGTTCATTGTTGTTTGCTTTTTGTCATTTTCTTTTGCTATGGTATTTTCTGCTTTTCTTCAAATCATGTTTTTTTTATTACTCCTTTGGAAACTTCTACCCCTTCAAAAAAAAAAAAAACCTAAAATAAATCCTCCTGACACTTACTTCATACTCTGTTTTTATATGAGGAATCAGACATCCTAGTTTGGGTCCAGAGGCCGCACTGTAGACTTTCCTCACAATGGCCACCATGTTAGTTTCGTATAGAGCATTTATCAGAGCTGATAAAGCTATGGCCGCAGACTGAAAAACAAAGAATGTTTACTTAGTCAGGGGCCTGTAATTCAGGTGTGGTCCTTGGTTGATATCTATCATATTTGTTTTTTGATTTGTTTTGTACATTAATCAGCTTGTTTGTTTTCTGGTTAACTGTTTGAATTGTTTTACATTTGTCATGTCAGGGCCATTTATAGCTTACTATATGGTATGGGTAATGCTTATTGTTGAAGGTCCTACAGTGACCTATAGTTGTTCAATAGCTAACAGGAAAAATGTATACCAGATGCCTGCAAAAGGTGGCCAGGTTAAAACTTGTTTGATATTCTAAATTTCTGGATTAAATATTTCTGAATTGTAAACCATTTCAATGACATAAGAAAACCATCTGGCTCTTAACCAGTCATTGAGTCAATCTTCAAATTCAAGGCTAGAGTTTTTTCTTTCTTCTTTTTAAAAATCCTAATCAGGAACAAATTGTAATGCATTTTAGTAATGCTTTCCATTTTAGAAGAAATTCTATTTTACCTCATCATCTTTTTCAGGAACGACATAGGATGACCCATCTCCAAGGTAATGGTGTCGCTTAATCTGTAATTCAAAAATATTTAATTATCAACACATTTAAGGTATTCTAGAAAAGTATAGCAAATAAAAGTTAGGTCAAGATTTACAATCATTGGTAACTACAAGCTTGTCTTCTGATGTTTAAGTTGTTTTGAACAAGTATTTTGAAGAACATCTGATACTGGACAACCAATTCAAAGGTGGAGTTTTAGAATGAATGGGAGTCTAGCATACTTTATTTTTAAGCCTGGTATTTTTTGATTTATTGTTTATAGAGAACATCAAGATTTGATTAAGCAAAAAGTATAATCAGTGATGACTATTTCAAAATTATATGTAGAGGGGGATTGTGGTTGGAAGGCATTTCACTACAAGATCTACTACCACACAGTTTAATTTGAATTGTTCTGCACTACAGTGTGAATATAGATTCCACCACTGCATCAAGTGTATTGCAATATTTCTCCCCTTGAGACAATCAAATCTTTAAATTTAAAACGTGAGGTTTGCTTAATGTTTAAAATTTAACTTTTGAGAGAGGAGAAATATTGTAAAACACAAGAAATAGTGGTTGAATCTGTTTCTATGATGATTTTAAAACAATATTTAAACAAGTGTACCCTTCCTTTTGAAAGATTTGCAGAAAGCTGTGTTCTTTAAATGTGAAGTCATCAGGCATGGTCGCTTTTTTAATGACATCACAATAGGCAATTCAGAAGAAATCAAGAAAATTTTACGTCATTATTGAAATTTTGACCAATCATTTGCAGAGATCAGTTATTTCACTAGTGAGGAGAACAACTTCTTCACAATCAGTTGGGAAATGTGAAAATAGTGAAAAAATTAGAGAATAGTTGTTTTAAACCCTATACCCCTATATTATCAATATTAGGTACAGAGGAACCAACCCCCTGTATTTAATGTTTATAAGGTATTTATACCTAATCAGCCTTGATAAAACCCAGTAATTCATAAAAACCTCTTTTTGACCTGTTGTTCATGGTGTTTGTTTATACCTTGTCACCCTTAGTAAAACCAAGTATCTTAAAACATTTCTCTGCCCTGTATTTCATGTTTTCTTTGTCATCTGCTGACATGGGGACCAATGTGTTTCCATATCTGTGACCTAAAATATATACACACATGAAATAGTATCAGTATGGTAGCCAGGTAAAGAATACTAAATTCTTGAAATAAAATACTGTGAGATTTCTATGTATTTTTGCTATAAAAAATTAAGATTAATTTAATAAGTAACCAGCTCACGATGCAGGTTTGATTTTTCTTGGGTTGTAAAATTATTGTTGTACTCGGAAGGCCAAGATTTTGCTTAGTCTGTGAAAAATAAATCTAAAAGAAACTATTATAAAGGCACCAAATTCCTTTTTCCTAACTTTAAAAAAGAAGATGTGGTATGATTGCCAATGAGACAACTCTTGACAAGAGACTTAATGACACAGAAAATAACAACTATAGATCACTGTACTGCCTTCAACAATGAGCAAAGCTCATACAGCATAGTCAGCTATAAAAGGCCCCCAAATGACAAATGTAAAACAATTCAAACAAGAAAACTAACGGCCTAATTTATGTAAAAAAATAAAATGAACAAAAATAAATATGTCCATTATCAATGTTTGTTTTGACAACCTCACGCTCAAGTGTATCTCAATTAACTGTTTATCTGTAAAATTTTCAAGTACTATGGGACATATACCATAAATACCAATTGTCCAAACTTTGAAATGGAAAAGAAAGGATATAGTGGATTATTGTTGACATGATATTTCAGCTAGCCTTAAAACCCTTGAAAGTAAACTCACCTTCAACAATGTCCTCTTTTTCGACCTCAGTCTCTTCTTCATCATTCATGTGGAATGTCCTTAGTGTACTGATTTGTTCATCAGCATCCTTGGCATAAACTTTCTTCCAACTTTGTTTTAGTGTGAAATTCTTCATCTAAAAAAAAATCGATATAAATTAAAAACACGCTGAAATGTCTCGCCTACTATACTGACCATTGATTTTATGTTGATAGTCCTACATATAAAGTTTTACTACAAGTATCACATTAACATTTATGATCCAAGAAAATGAGGTCAAGGTCAGATAAACCAAGCCGAAAATACATGTACACCTTTAATACAATCCCTCCATACACAGAGTATAGATGACCTATTGCTTATAGTATAAAAGAAACAGACCAAACCATGGAAATTCTATACTGACCAATGAACCATGAAAATGAAGTCAAGGTCATTTGAACCCTGCCAGACAGACATGTACACCTTAAAATCATTCCATGCATCAAATATAGTTGACCTATTCAGGGCCTAATCTAGGATTTTGGAGAGGGAGAATTGACTTCTCCTTCCATGAGAGAGAAGGGAGAAGTGGTCAATTTCTTGGAGACGTGAGACTCCATTAACGTTTCGGTTGCATAGTGTTCTCGTGCTTATCACTAAGGAAATTGTTTTATATGCAATAAAAAATATAGTTTTTTCATGTTATTGTACAAAATGTATATATAGAAAGTTCTTAATAAAAAGGTTTAGACAATATAGTTGTTATTTATTCATTGATACCATTTGTACTGTCAAAGTTTAAATAAAATTTGTTGCTTGGGACATGAGGGAGTTACTCAGTAGCCTAGTAATATTATGATGCATTAAATTCATGTGCATTTGCCTCAATTTATTTTTAAATGTCCAGAAAAATATGACTCCCAGTTTACCTGATGAATTTCACATGACTGGGAATTTAATTTATATCACCACTTGTCATTATTTTGTAAAACATTATTGAATGTCCAGGACATCATGTTACATGTAGTTGTAAATTGAGATTCTTGTTAAAGATTGTAAGCCTATAAATGAAAATATCTGTCAATCACGTATTAATTAACCGATGCAGAGCTAATTTCTATCATTTTTTAAAGATATCTTCCCTATCAACGAAATTGTCGTGAAAAAAAAATCCACTGCTGATCACAGCTGGTCGAGTGTCGTACGTTTGCAATCTCATTATCCATCAGCTGTCTTTCTACCTTTTATATTTCAATTCTATGCAATGAATATAATAAATCTACCGTTAATTCCCACCCTTAACCCACCGAATAGTACAAATTGATCGACTCGTAATAAATAAAAATAAAACAAATCAGCTGAGTGATTACGCAACATCCTCAGATAAAAATCATTGTAAAATGATAACTTTAACAGACGGTCAGTTTTCCGATTGAATAGTTTTGAATGTTATATCCAAGGATGTTCAAAGTCGCCGTTGTATTTACTTAATTTGATCGTCGACAGTATTAGTCCTGGGTCGTTTCGAAAATCTTGATTTTCCTTGTCAGTCGCCATTTTTTTTTACCTGAGAGACTTGTAATTCACAAGTTGTCTCCCTTTTACCGATTTTCATAGCGATTTGACTTCGCCATGAAGTCAGTCGGCTGGCGAGATTTAGCGATTTTCAAAATTCTTTGGCGACTTAAATCGTCATTTCGCCGGCAAGATTATCGCCTGCCTATTGCTTAAGGTATCTAAGAAAAATAGTTAACCAGGAAAACTGAACATTGACCAATCCCCCATGAAAATGAGGTGAAGGTCAGATGATACCTGCCAGAAAGACATACACCTTACAATCATTCCATACACCAAATATAGTTGACCTATTGCTTAAAGTTTAAGAATAACAGACCAAAACACAATAAAATGCTTCGCTGAGCGCAGCCTGATACGACTGCAGAGGTCGAACCCTCGAACAGTTGGTACAAATTTGGACACAATATTCAAGCTTGATACTGTCTGAATTTGGATTGTGATCAAATTTTAGACATAATATAGATTTCTGACACAAAATGAATGTGGTCAAAGATCTTACAAATCTATTGCGCAATACTTTTAGATACTATCTTATGATTATAAACCAGCTTCTGTCCAAGTTTGGTACAAACCCAGGATAGTTTAAGAAAGTTATTAAAATTTTAAAAACTTTAACCACAGAGTGAATGTAAATTCCCAGCAGAAAAACTAAGTCCATTTATAAGTAAAATACGGAAAAAATGGAATTTTATTTTTACAAAATTTACTTCTGGATACTATCGTATGATCATAAACAAGCTTCTGTCCAAGTTTGGTAAAAATCCAGGATAGTTTAAGAAAGTTATTAAAATTTCTCAAAAACTTTAACCACAGAGTGAATATTTGTGGATGCCGCCGACGACAACGACGACGGAATGTAGGATCGCTATGTCTCGCTTTTTCGACTAAAGTCGAAGGCTCGACAAAAATGCTTGTTTTTGGCCCTTTTTTGGCCCCTTAGTCCTACATATTTGGGCAATTAACCCCAAACTCAATCCTAGCCTTCTCTTTATGATATGGAACCTTGTGGTACAATGTCAGAGAGATCCATACACTTACACATAAGTTTTTGTCTGGAAACTAGAAAAATGCTTGTTTTTGGCCCCTTTTTGGCCCTTAATTCCTAAACTATTGGCCCCATAATCCCTAAAATAAATCCCAACCTTCTACTTGTGGTATTTAACATTGCCGTACAGTTTCAGAGCAAACGAAATACTTTTACACAAGTTATTATCCTGAAACTAGAAAAATGCTTGTTTTGGGCCCGTAATTCCTAAACGGTTGGGACCATCATCCCCAAAATCAACCCCAACCTTCATAGAGATCCATTCACTGAAACTAAAGTTATTGTCCGGAAACCAATGTGTCTTCAGACGATGAAGCAGACGACGATCCCAAAAATTTTTTTGCGGTTGTATAAAAACTTAACAAAAGCAATGAACCATAAAAATGAGGTCAAACTCAAATAAAACCTGCCAGACTGACATGTAAATCGTAAAATATTTCCATACACCAAATATAGTTGACCTACTGCATACAGTATAAGAAAAACAGACTAAAACACTAAAACTTAACATTGAGCAATGAACAGTGAAAATGAGGTGAAGGTCAAATAAAACCTGCCAGACTGACATGTACATCGTAAAATATTTCCATACACCAAATATAGTTGACCTACTGCATACAGTATTAGAAAAACAGACCAAAACAAAAAAACTTAACATTTAAGGAATGACTGTAATGTTTTTTCTGTCTATGAAGAAATGACATCAAAAATGTGGTGCACATTAAATAACCCGCGTAGCAGGTTATTTTAAAGTGTGCACCACATTTTTTATGTTATTTCGAATAGACAGATAAAATATCACAGTTATTTCTTATAATTTAATTATCAATTCCATTTTAAACCGGAGTAAAACATGAAAAAACATTGATGACGTCACGGTCACATGACTAAATTATGTCTATGAGCTGATAAACAAAACAACGTCAGCCAATCAGAAGACGCGTAACATCCAAAATTAAATTATTGAGCAATGAACCATGAAAATGAGGTCAAGGTCAAATAAAACCTGCCAGACTGACATGATTATCGTAAAATATTTCCATACACCAAATACAGTTGACCTATTGCTTTCAGTTTTAGAAAAACAGACCAAAACACAAAAACTAAACTATGACCACTGAACCATGAAAATGAGGTCAAGGTCAGATGACACCTGCCAGTTGGACATGTAAACCTTACAATCATTACATGCACCAAATATAGTTGACCTTTTGCTTATAGAATCTCAGATATGGACTTAACCAAAAAACTTAACCTTGTTCACTGATCCATGAAATGAGGTCGAGGTCAAGTGAAAACTGTCTGACAGGCATGAGGACATTGCAAGGTATGCACATACCAAATATAGTTATCCTATTACTCATAATAAGAGAGAAATTAACATTACAAAAAATCTTAACTTTTTTTTCAAGTAGTCACTGAACCATGAAAATGAGGTCAAGGACAATAGACATATGACAGACGGAAACTTCATATCATAAGGCATCTATATACAAAGTATGACGCATCCAGGTCTTCTACCTTCTGAAATATTAAGCTTTTAAAAAGTTAGTTAATGCCGCATCCGCCGGATCACTATCCCTATGTCAAGCTTTCTGCGACAAATGTCGCAGGCTTGACAAAAATAATCAAGTTCATAAAGGTAATAACAAACAGAGGCACAAGTAAATCAGAACTGGCATTGCATGGTTTAGAAATTATTGTGATGTTTTTCTTTTTACAAAAAATTGCGACAGGGTAGATTTTGCAAAAATAAACACTTGTATTTTAAATTTTGAAATTATTTATAAACAGCATCATTTGTCTAATTATTTTTGTTAATTTTCATTAAAAATTGGGATATGTCGGTGCTTCGTACCTTTGGAGAGATATAGTGCAAGAAGTAAGTGAATTCAACAGATACATTAAAAAACAAGAATGTGTCCATATTACACAGATGCCCCACCCGCACTATCATTTTTTATGTTCAGTGGACAGTGAAATTGGTGTCAAAACTCTAATTTGGCATTAAAATTAGAAAGAACATGTGTACTAAGTTTCAAGTTGATTGGACTTAACTTCATCAAAAACTACCTTGACCAAAAACTTTAACCTGAAGAAGGACACACAGAAGAACGAATGGACGCACAGACCGAAAAACATAATGCCCCTAAGTGGGGCATAAAACCAAGCATAAAAGAAAAAACATCAACAGAAATATAACTGGATATAATCTGAAAAAGATTTTAAAATTTCAAAGCAGAAGATGCATTAAATATCTTACCTTCATCAATTAATATAGAATTTAAAGCCTTTTTTCTAAAAAAAGTATTCATTATGAAAGCAAGCGACTGTCAAATTTACCATCAAATTGAAGAAAAATTTGATTCAATGTCACTTGCTTTCATTTTCAATAAATTTAGAAAAAAACACCATTCAATTCTTATATTTGACGATCATAGAAGTTTAATCTGTTATCAAAATTTGGAATCTGAAAGTAAAACTAAAAATAAACTCTTGACATTTCTCTCAAAATGTTTGAAGCAGCTACA